AAATAAGAAACAATCTCCTACCACTTTATCAGAGCTGGAGAAGGGAGTCAGTGTGTAGCATGTGGAATGAATATAGTACTGTGTTCTAGTCGTGGTTTTACCACTGTGAAGCAGGGCAACATTGCTTAGTTCACTTAGTTATCTTGTCACCTGTAAAAAGATCCCTAAAGTTCCTCCCATCTTAATGCTTTTGTAACTTTCAGTGTGGCAGAAGGTAACAGCATTGTTGAAGTTTTATTAAAAGGGATGGAGATGTCTTGGGATAAAGGCTGAGAGAATGGAAGTGACTAAAAGAAGAGCATTTGAAAGAATGATTACCTTGAAGATAATGCAGCAAGAATTTGGAAGAAAATAAAAAGTGTTGAACTCAAAAGAATGTGATCAATACACACAAGGATTAATTATAATTGCATTCATGATTCTCATTTTGAGGTTATTGTTAGCTTTCATGATGGACTTTCAAAAGTAAGGGATGTGATTGATTTTTATGCTTATAGCCCTGTATCTTTTAAATTTGGTATACTTTTGTGGATAAGGGGTGGGGAAAGGGTGGGACATGTAACCTGAGGGCTGTGTCCCACAGAGGGCACTCCCACCTATTCTGAAATAATCGGGTGTCCAGCCCTGCAGGGACAGACCAACCAAGACAAAGGAGGAGCTTCCTCATGAAAATTTATTATTTAGAAGGAGTGCTATATAGTGTACTGACTCTGGAGCCTAACTTACTGAGTTTGAAACCTAGTTTTGCCAGTATTAGCATGTGACCTTAGACAAGCTACTTGACCTCTCTGTGACTCACTTTCCCCATATGTAAAATGGAGATGTTAGTAATTCCACTTCAGAAGGTTATTATGAGAATTAAATGAGTAAATGCAAAATATCTAAGACAGACTCTTGTTTCCAAGAAGATGGGGTAGACATAGTTTTCCTTACCCAATCCTCTAAGTACAATTAAAAACTCTGGATACTACATAAAACAAATGCATTTTCTACAACTATTAATTAAAGGAAACAAGGATATAGTAATATTAGATAAATTAGGCTTTGGACAAAGAAAATTATTAGAGACAGAAAGTGACATTATATAATGATAAAAATGTCAGTCGACCAAAAATAGAGACAGCAATTCTAAATGTGTATGCACACATGCAAAAACAAACAAACAAACAAACAGTTCCTAAATATTTGCAACAAAACTGATAGACTTGAAAGAAGAAATACACAAATTTACAATTATAACTAGAATCCCTAACACTTCTCTCTCACAAATGGGTAGAACAACTAGATAGCAAACCAGAAGGGATAGAGAAGAATGCAACTTCACTGTCAACCAATCCAATTGATATTTAAAGAACACTACACAAAACAACAGCAGTATACATGTACTTTTAAGTGCTCATAGAAAATATACCAAGATAAACCACATCGTGGGACACAAAACATACCTCAGTAATTTAAAAGAATTGATTCCATACAAAATGTATTTTCCAACAATAGTGGAAACAAATTAGAAATCAAGAATAAAATGATAAAAAATCTCCAAACACTCGGCAACCAAATAACCCATTTTCAAATACATCAGAAATCAAAGAGGAAGACAAACATTAAACAGTTAAAAAATATATTAAACTGAATGAAAATGAGAATACAATATACCAAAATTTGTGAGAGATAGTTAAAGCAGTGCTGAGGGAAAATTTTATAGTACTGAATACATATATAATAAAATAGGAAAAGTATCAAATTAGTAATCTAAGCTCCTCAAGAACCTAGAAAACAAGCAACAAAACAATAGCAAAGCAAACAGAAGGAAAGAAATAATAAAGATAAGAACACATATCAATAACATTGAAAATTAAAAACAACAGAGAAAATCAATGAACAACAAACCGATTCTTTGAAAAGATCTATTAATATAAATTGACAGATCTCTAGCAAGATTACCAATATAAAAGAGAGAAGACATAAATTACCAATATCAAAAACTAATAGTAGCTATTAGTACAGGTACTATAGATAATAAAGATAAGGGAATACTCTACATACATCAATTTGACAACTTATACAAAACAGACCACTTCCTCAAAAAACAGAAGTTACTACAACTCATTCAAGATGAAGTAGGTAATTTGAATAACCCTATAACTGTAAAGGAAATTGAATTCATAATTTTGAAATTCCCCCCCAAAAAGCTACAGGTCCAGATGGTTTCACTGGAGAATTCCACTAAATGTTTAAAGAATTAATATCAATTCTATGCAATTTCTTCAAGAAAATAGGGAGGAGATAACACTTTTCAACTCATTTTATGAAGCTAGTATTAATTATATACTATAATCAAACAAAAACTGCACCAAAAAGAAAAAAAAAAAAAGAAAGAAAACCTCAGGCCAATACCCCTAATGGATATAAATGCAAAAATGTTTAACAAAATAATCACAAAGATAATTCACACCATGATCAGGTGGAGTTGATTTCAAGTATGTAAGGTCAGTTTAATGGTGGGAAATCTATTATTGTAAACTTCTGTATTAGAAAGCTAAAAAGGAAAAATTTCATGATCATATTAATCTATGCAAAAAAAAAAAAGTACTGGACAGAATTTAACACTCATGCATGAAAAAAACTCTCAGGAAACTAGGAATAGAAAGAAACTTCTTCAATTTGGTAAAGAACATCTATAAAGCCCTATAGCTAATGTTATTGTTAATGGTGAAAGACTAAATGCTTTCCCCCTAAGATCAGGAACAAGGAAAAGATGTCTGTCCTTATGACTGTTATTTAACACAGTGCTTGATGTTTTTGCCAATGCAACAAGGCATGGGGAAAGAAGGAAAAGGACATTCAGATCAGAAAGGAAGAGGTTGGTTTTTTTTTTTTGTTTTTTTTTTTTTTTCAAATGACATGACTGTCTATGTAGAAAATCCCAAGAGATCTACATAAAAACTCCTAGAACTAATAAGTGAGTCCAGCAAGGTCACAGAGTAAAAGATATATATCCAAAAATTAATTGTATTTCTGTATTACTGTAATGAATATGTGGAAATCAAAGTTAAAAATATAATACCATTTACAATTGCTAAAAATTAAAATGAAATGTTAGATGTATATCTAACAAAACATGTACAGGACTTGTTTTGAAAATTATACAATGGTGATCAAAGAAATCAAAGCAAATCTAAATAAACTGAGAGACATACCATATCCATGGATTGGAAGACTCAATATAGTAATGATGTCAATTCTCTCCAAACTCATATATAGGTTTAATACAATTCCTATCAAAATCCCAATATGATTTTTTTGTACATATAGACAAGAGTATTCTAAAATTTATAATGAAAGACAGAGGAACTAGAATAGTGAAACAATTTCAGAAAACAAAAATGAAGTTGAGAGAATCCATTTTCTCAATTTCAATACTTACTAACTATGTGGTATTGGCAGAGATATAGATCAATGGAACAGAATAGAGAAACCAGACATAGATTCATATGAATATTATCAACTAATTTTTGACAAAGGTGCACAAGAAATTCAATGGACAAAAGATAGCATTTTTCAACAAATTGTTCTGGAGCAATTAGACATCCATGGGCAAAAATGAACCACAACTTCTGATAAGTCCCACATGAATTTCTTGTACAATAGTCACATAAGTACCATACTGCATTTATCAATTCCGTAAGTTTATGTCATCTTTCTGCAAGGGCAGGTACCACAGCTGCAGACCTCAATCTAAGGTACATTACAAGCAATTCAATTTTTCTCGTAATGTCACGACTTTTCTCTGCTTATTGGGGTCACTTTCAGTGTCACTAGTGGCACTTTGTATGGGTCCTATGGTGTTGTTCAGGGTTTGTGGTATTGTACTAAACATGATGAAAAACATGTGAGAACCTCAAGAGATCATTTTTTTGCTGCAATATGTAATTTACTGGAGAGACGAGCTGCCCACGTGGAGATGATTAGGGTCACATGGCATTTTAAGAGGATAATTGAGCTCATCACAAAAGCAATAGGAGGTGGCTGCAAAATTATCATAGTAAAGTATATGCTGCAGTTAATTTTTATGCATGCAATTATAATTTAATACTGCATCTTTATGTTTGTTTATATTTCTCTTGACTGTGAATGGTGCCATGTAACTTCTGTGTTTTGTAAGTTTTGATAAATATTAACTTTTTATAGTGAAGTCATTGTGTATATTTTATGGTTGTAAATGATAAAATAGACTAGTATTCACATATATTTTATGCATTCTTCATATACCTTTCTCTTAATGTTTTTGATATTTCTAGGCTACATTGTTTTTCTACAAGTTTTTTTTTTTTTTTTTTTTTGAGACAGTCTCTCACTTTGTTGCCCAGGCTAGAGTGAGTGCCGTGGTGTCAGCCTGGCTCACAGCAACCTCAATCTCCAGGGCTCAGAGATCCTACTGCCTCAGCCTCCCGAGTAGCTGGGACTACAGGCATGCGCCACCATGCCCGGCTAATTTTTTGTATATATATTTTTAGTTGGTCAATTAATTTATTTCTATTTTTGGTAGAGATGGGGTCTCGCCCAGGCTGGTTTCGAACTCCTGACCTTGAGCAATCCGCCCGCCTCGGCCTCCCAAAGTGCTAGGATTACAGGCGTGAGCCACCACGCCCGGCCTTCTACAAGTTTTTACATTGTCACAAATGTCTAAAAATATTTCCAATATATTTATTAAAAAATTTGCATACAAGTTGACTCATCTACTTCAACCGTGTGTGCTTCAAGTCAACTGCAGTTTGGCAGTTTCTTAGAAAAGTAAAATTGCAACTACCATTTTATCTTCCTAGCATTTGCACTCCTAGGCAGAGAGAATTGAAGACTATGCCCACACAAAAACTTGCACACAAGTGTTGCAGCAGCTTTATTGGCAGTAGTTCTGTGTTCATTTGCTGGAACTTCTGTAACAAAGTACTACAGACTGGGTGGCTTAAACAATAGAAATGTATTGTCTCACGGTTTGAAGACTAGAAGTCTGAGGTCGAGGTAGCAGAGGACTGGTTCTTTCTGAAGCTGGGAGGAGGAATGTGTTCCATGCCTCTCTTTTGGTTTCTGGTTGGTTTTTGGCAATGACTGGCATTCTTTAGCTTGTAGGTGCATCATATGATCTCTGTCTTCATGTTCCTGTGGCGTTCTCCCTGTGTAGCTATCTGTGTCCAAATTTCCCTTTTTTATATAGACACCAGTCACATTGGATTAGGGGCCCATCCTACTACAGTATGCTTCATCTTAACTGATGATATATGCAACAATTTTATTTCCAAATAAGGTCACGTTCTTAGTTACTAAGGCTTGGGACTTCAACATAAATTTTTGGCACACAATTTAACCCACAGCAAATCTCAAACTAGAAATAATCCAGATGTTCTTCAACAGGTGATTGCTTAAACAAACTGATATAGCCACACCTTAGAATACTACTTAGCAATAAAAAGGGACAAACTATTGATACATGCAACAACCTGGATGAATCTCGATAAAATTAGGCTGAGTGAAAAAAAGCCAATCCCCAAAGTTTACATGCTGTATAATTTCATTTATATAACATTCTTGAAATGACAAAATTATAGAAATGAAGAACAGATTAGTGGTTGCCAGGAGTGATGTAGAAGGTGAAGTAGAGGAAAGTGGGTTTGGCTATAAAATGGCATTAAGAAGGATCCCTGGAGTAATAGATATAGTCTGTCCTGACCCTACTAATGTCAGTATCCTGGTTGTGATATTATATTACACTTTTGCAAGATGTTACCACTGGGAGAGTCTAGCTAGAGTTCAAGGGATCTCTCTGTATTAATTATTACAAATGCACACCAAACTATAGTTATATCAAAATAAAGTTGTAACACAAAAAATGCCTACGATCTAGGCACATGGTACATAGCTAAGTGCTCAGTGAATATTATTATCTTTGATTAAAAAAAAACATTTTTCCCTTGCAACTGCAACACCTAGTGTGTTTACATAGAATGAATTTGTTCTTTGCCTTCCCTCAAAGAAGAAACACAGAAAGAATAAGAAAATCAGTGGGAACCAACACTCATCCTTCACTGTAACTGAGCTCTGCCCTTTTTTCTGAGCCCTCAGTGGAGCTGTCTGAGCTCTCTTGGGTACTAAACAAAGTAAAATTTTTTTCCTAATCTCTTCTCTGTTTCCCAGTGTATTACTGTGCTCACTTATACTGTGGAGAAGTTAGGAGATTCTGCTGCATTTCACATTGCCCATCCATGGTCTTCACTGGGGAAGGAGCAACCCAGAGTGAGCACAAAGTACGTCGTACCATGGGGAAGGTGGGTGTGTTGGTGGAGGTGCCCAGATGAATAGCTGTGGGAATGTCTTCCTTTTATGGTGGAGTGAAGAGAGGGCTACTTCCATTTTTTCTCAGGAAATGAGATTAGAAATAGGATAGATAAAATCCATTTTCAGTGGCACCAGAAGGCATTTGGGGTTTGCCACCCCAAGCCCCAGTACGTGAGCAAGGGTGGGCAAGTGCACTGAACAATGTCAAGGAGAAGTGTGTGGAGAGTCTGAGTCAGGGTGCTTGCAATGGCAGTTCACAGACAAAGCCAACAGAACATAGATCTTCAGTGTAGGTGGCACAGCCTCAGGGGGAAAAACCACCATCCATCATTGGGAACGGTGGTGAGGTGCTGGAGGGGGGAAGGTTAAGTAGTGGTTGCGGGTGAATGAGAAATGAACATTGTTGTACCGTGGTTGTGAGGTGGGTGATGAGAGAGGATCAGCACTGGGAGCCTCCTGCAGCTGCTGGAAGGACCCTCACCCAACCCTGCACCACGAGGGCCCTCCCTAACAACCTGTACATAGCTGCCTCACAAAGAACTCACCTTATCCAAAGACAAGTGATGCAGTGAGGGGTGGGGTGGAGTGAGGAGAAGAACCAGGAACAGATTCTGTACAGAAATAATATAGACAGAATTAGAAAAAACAAATATAAGTGGCAGATGGAGAGCATGCACCTAAAAAATCTTCCCCAAACAAAATGATATTTGTGTTTAAAATATTGGCCTATGTTGCTTTTTTTCTTAAAGAAAGCAACGGGTTCCATAAAATAGAAACTTAAACCACGCATGTAAGAGTTCATGAAAGATGTGGGGAAGCCATGGAAGAAGGTGAAACATGAGCTCGTCAAGCTTAGGAAATATGTGGAAGAAAGAAAATAAAAATCATTAAACATGAAGTCCTATTTGGAAGCAACACAAGGGAAATTAGAGATTTTTTAAAATATGGCAAGAAATATGGATGTGGAGCATTGAGAACAGCAAGTGAATGAAGAGGATATGAGCGAAGGGTTAAAATAATTTTCAAAAATGATAAATATGGAAGACAGATAAAGTGAATCAACAAATATTTGCTATTCCTGAAGAAGGGAATCGAAGAATGAAATGGAAAACAAATTCTAATGATGCAATTTAAGAAAACTTTTTATACCCAAAAGAAGCCTGCACTCAAGATTTGAGTGCTAAAAAATTTTAACATAATGATCAAAATATTCTAATAAATTTACTAGACTTCAAAATTGAGAAAATAATTCTTTAGTCATAACAGGATTAAAGAGATGAGCCCAGCCTTAGATCTTTCAACAGAATTATGTAGAACAGAAATAGAAGACATTGGAGTAATGCATATGATGAGAGTATATACCTAGAATGTAGCAACTCTAACAGTATGGAATGATTTCTAAGTTATATTTTAAATGAAAAACAGATGCTATTTTATATATATGTCTTAGGATATATTTTAAAAACTGATGATAGAGATTGTCTCTGGGCAGGGATACAAGAGATACTTCAGTTAATTTCCATCCCCTTTTACTATTGCATGCACTAGTACAATAAAAAAAAACATAAAAAAAAAACAGACTTGTTCATTCAAAATATCACCTCTACTAGAGCCTGAAAATTCCCCATTAAATTTGCTTTTCAGTTTAATTCATTGCCTTTCATTTTAAGTTGCAAATATTCATGTGCCAGGTAGAAAACTGAGAGTCCTTTGGGAAAGAAGGATCATCTTTTGTTATTCTTCAAAATACTTTTATCAAAGAAGATGCTTAATACACACTGATTGTCTGGACATTGACTAAGCCAAAATGAAGCAACAAAAGATGATGCTTATGATGATTCATACTGTTGCTTGAGTATGCAAATCTTAGCAGATTGTCATCATTGCCCCTTAAACCCATTTAGCAAAATGAAATAGGGAATTGAGAATTGGAAATAAAATTTTCACTTGCAGGCCATTTCCTACGCTGCCTTAAGAACTGTATTTTTCCTTTTTGGCCAGAAAGATATATATCTCTGCCTGTGAATGGTCACATAGAATCAATATTAACCTCTTAGGCTTTATCAAGGGCTAATGTACTAATGGCAAGAGTTGTCCCATGTTAATTGTGTTAGGCTAAACCATTTATAGATTATTTTGATCATTGCTCTTTATAGGGCATTGCACAAATGAGGTCCCAGGGTTCTTTTGTGCTCTGATCCATTCTGAGCTGTTCTCTTAAAGTCTGATTTATACTTCAATCATTTCCAAATTCTGTAGGACAAATCTTACTGTAACCTCCATATTCCCACTACCAACACAAAAGTTAAGAACAGAAAAAAGCTTTAATAGGAAGCAGGTAATAAATATAATTGGATGTCCTCAGTATCTCAGATACAACCACTTACTCTCTCATCCATCAGCATGCCATCTTTCAGCTGTGATTTAACCCACACAAGCCTGTATAATGTACCTACTTAGAATCATTAAAAGCTTCAAATAACTAAGTCTCCATCTGAATTATTGGTAGGTTTTGCCTTGGTTGCTAAAGCTCTACCAAACAAATACATTTTTCTTTTACTAGTTTGATTTTGTTTGTTGCTGTAACTCTTTGAGTAGTGTACATACAAGTGATAGAGCTGAGTGATAAGTTGCAGCTAAAATGCCTTCTGGAATGGCAATGCTTGCACCTTGTCTGGTTAAAAATGCATGTTTGATGCTCTCGGTGGAATCACTGGATAAAGAAGTTCCCTGCCAGACTGACTTACACGGATAAATATCCTGTCTCCTCTTAACTCCTGTTTTCCTATCTGGGGGCCATTAGTAAAGATCTACCAGCTGATCCTAATTGCTTCAAGAGAGTGAAAGATGCTCTCAAGGGTCATCAGAGTTTCCTATCATGGAGGGTTTTAAAGAATCAAGTCAACATCTTAAACTATCATGGGATGCAAATAGGAGGCCAGCATACTCCCAAGGCAACCGAGTCTAAGAACATCTAAACAAGTATCCTGTTAGGGGTGTGTTATGACATGTATTTTTATAGATGCAAATGACTCATTGCACAAACTGTTCCTACTAAATATTACCTTTCCTTGGAGTGAAAAAAATAGACAGCTTTCTTAGCTCAGAATCCAAATCAGTAGGTACTGAGCAATGTTTTGTCAGTCTCAGGTCAACACATTATTGCTGCACTGTGGCTATTGATGTGTGGCTGTGGCCACATTTGAAGTGTTTTCTTAATAATCTGCTCTGTTCCCCCAACCAGAGCTGAATGGGGGCCAGTTTTACTCAGTCTTGATGGTGAAAGGAGGTCTGAAAAATTGTTCCGCTGAGCCAGCCGTTGGCTTGCTTGTGGTATTTGATGCCACAAGCACACTCACTGTACAGTGACTGTTTTGACCCTTGTTTCACGGGCCTGTCGGTAAACCCAAGTAGCTTTTCAGATAATATAAAAGCAAGTTCACTCTGCCAAAGTTAATTTGAATAATCAATCCCTCCTGGATAAGGAAATGTCTTCGCAGTGCTCTGGTTATGATATTATCTGGAAGCACATATTTAGAAGGGGAATGATACAGATAATTCAGTCTAATTTCTCAGCCTAATATGAACCAGGGGAAATGTAGGCTTAACAATTTTCCATAGTCAATCATGAGATTGAGAAGAAATACTGAGTGTAACCACAGGACATTTCCATGGGCGGTAATGAGGTTTTACTAGTAATATAATTGTATTCATTTTAAACCTGGAAAAGTCATTAATAATGAACCAGGTCATCTCTTCCATTTAAAAAAAATTCTAAATTTGTATATTTTCCACTAAATACATCAGAGTTTACTTTTTCCTTCTCAGTTAATGTCATAATTATATCTGCACAAATTACAATGATTTTTCTTCATCTGCAAAATCTATACAGACTTCAGTGTTTCAAGATCATGATAAATAATATTGGTTCCAAGTACAAAGTTGCCTTAGAATGGCATCATTACTAAAAATGATTTAAATAGTTCTGTTATTTATGTAATCTTTTCCTCTTCAAAAAATTCTGGGCACATTTATTTTTATCTTTTTCCCATAAGATGTCTGCTTAATACAAGCAATTAGGTATCTTATTAATACCACTCTACTTCTTTTTATGTATCCAACAGAAATTTTAATGAGTGACTACCAAATACCAGTACCAGTTGAGATGCTGCAAATATAAAGATGAAAAAACCATGGTGGAACTTCCACATCTGGATAGATGTAGGAAGTTATAAGAGACTGTCACTCTTGTTCTAATCTTGACCTCAAGACAGATACTCCACAGCAGTCTAGCTTTTCAAACCCATTAGAGCTAAGTATGCAAAGAAAGACAATTAACTGAATTCCAGAGAGTAACAAGCCATTTCCATGAGAGAAGAGACCCACAGTTGCTCTCATTCTTGGTGGATTTGTAGAAGAAAAATCTACCTTAGATAAAGAGAGGTAAGGTTTGCCAATGCTTAGATAATCTTGTTAAACAGAAAATCCTAATCATGTCTTCAACCTTGTAAAGCCAGTGATTAACTGAATCTCACTAAAGCAAAACCAGGCTCAGACCCATCTCAAATACAGATTAGCCTAACTCCACCCTGATAGAAGAAGGAGTGTATTCTCTTTGAAGGTTATTATTATTTGCTTTAGTCTCTAATATTATTTTACCTACAATGTTTGAACCACAATAAAAATTGATGAATTACATGAAGAAACAAGAAATATGACTCAAGATCAATGGAGGAATAGTCAATAGAAGTGGATCCAGGGGCGAGTCAGATGGTGGAATTATCAGACAGATTTTATATATATATATATATATATATATATAAAAATATATATTTATATATTATATATATAAATATATATATAACATATATATGTTAAAGCATCAGTGGAAAATGGACAATAAAAATGTAGAGGAAATATCAGCAGAGAGATAGAAACTATAAAAAAGAATTAAATGGCTATGTTACAAATAAAAAGTACAATATCAGAAATAAAAACTTTATTTGATAAGCTTAATAGCATATAAGACATAGAAGAGGAAGGGATCAGTAAACTTGAACAAGTGAGTAGAATTTATCTGAATTGCAAAATAGAGAAAAAGAATGAAAAAAATGAAACAGGCTACTTTAGACCTGAAGACAATATCAAATGGTCTAATTGGAGTCCAGAGGAAGGGAGGAAAGATGAGAAAAAAGAAACATTTGAAGAGATAGTGGCTAAGAATTTAAAGACCCCAATCATTGGAAACAGAGCTAGCGAGGGCATTTTCAAGATGTCTAACTAGAAGAAGCATTTCAAACATACCTTTTCTGCTTAGAAGAACCAAAATAGTGTGTAGACACAATCACAGTTCGAATCCATTGTCCAAGAGGGAATACAAGAGTTTGACAGAAACATGACAGGAAACACCAAAAACTAGGAAGGTGAAAGAAAACTAGCAGCCTGCTTGGCTAGGAGAGAGTAAGTGAGAGTCTTTCTGTAGTCCGTTTTCCCACTGGGGGATTGTGCAATTCAGGCCATAGGAGAGCATCTTGACCCTCATGAGTCCTGAATCTAACTTAGGAAGTGATGAGGAGGCTATAAGAAGAACTGTTACAGAGAGGGAATTCATCCTGTCTCCCAAGCCCTTTCTGAAACCTAAGCAGCTAAAGCTTGAAGGCATTCTCAATCCTAGCTATTAAAAGACTGTGTGTGGTCCTGGGAAACAGCATTGCCAGTCCTAGGCATTAGAAAACTTGGACTGCTGCTTGCAGAACTGGGACATGAGTTGGGGGTGGACTCCCACACCAGGACTGAGAAGTGAGTGTTGTGTGGGCTGCAACTGATGGCATTCAAAGCAGGCACCACCGCCCCCAGGACTTGAGTGGAAGGAGAGAGTTGCCACAGAGCCTTGGTCTAGAGTTGGGTGGGGGCTCCTACAGCTTGGGGCTGAGTTGTGGGCTAAGTACAAACTACCAGGCCTGATGGAACAGCTGGGTCATCTGCAACAGCCAGGACTGGGGATTAAGCCCTGCTGGGATTGGCACTGGGGCATCAGAGGAATATAAGTCTCCCGCTTATCGACCAAGGCTGTGGCTGTTGGGGCCAGCTGCACCTTCCCCATGGCAGGACCTCAGTACAGCAGTAGCCATCCCTCACCCAAGCATAGCATTCTGCCAGAGGCCTGAGGATCACCTTGCTGCAGCCTGTCATGGCTAGTGCATGCACTTACCAACGGGGGACCTGAGCAGAATTGATTGGTCTGGTCTCACCTGCTTCACTGCCCACCTCCCCACACACACATCAAGACAGAGTGCAGGATATAGCATCCTGAGGGTTGAACAACTCACCATCTGGGACACCCAAGCACTCCTCTTGGGGGACTGAAGTTGGGCATAAATGTTCTACCACTCAGCTAGCTTCTACCTACAAAGTGCCACCTGCCACCGTAGAGGCTGGCTTGCACAGCCCATTACAACCACTGCCAGCACAAGCACACAGTGCTTGGGACCTAGAAGAGCATCTCACTAGTGGTACTGCCGTTGCCCTTACCACACCAGCTGTCCAGGTGTTTAACAGCCATTCACCTACCTGGTACACCGCTACTACAACCAAAATTTATGAAAGCCACCTAGAGATCTGTAACTGCCAACAAACGTGCCAGTGTACACCACCCTCAGGCACAAGAATAGCCCACCACTGCTAATACTGAAACCTGAAGATGGGCCCATCTAGCCTCCCATTCCCCAGCACAACTTCACCATAGGTTCCACCAATAACTGCACCCTAACTCACAAAGGAAACCATAGATACTATTAACAATTTATAGCCAATGAAATCATAGAGACACTTCACTACTGCACACATCCAGAAGCAAAGCTAAAGGACCCTATCCAACCAACATCACAAACACATCTTCAGGAAAAAGACCCCTGTTCAATGAAACTAAATTCAAAAATAGGAAGAAGTGACTGTTATACCAGATGTGCAGAAATCAATGCAAAGAATCAGGAAACATGGAAAAACAAGGTAATATGATACCCTCAATGGAGCACAGTAATTCTCCAGCATTAGATCTTAACCAAAAAGAATGTCTTGAAATCCCAGAAAAAGAATTAAAATATTGATTTTAAACAAGTTCAATGAGATGTAAGAGAAATCTAAAAACCAATAGCAAGAACTTAGATAAACAATTCAGAAGATGACTATTTACCAAAAAGATAGATATCTTAAAAAAAACTAAACAAACAAATTCTGAAGCTGAAAAAACTTATTGAAGAAATATAAATATATTCCAAAGCTTAAAAAATAGACTAGATCAAGCAGAAGAAAGAATTTTAGAACTTGAATCCAGGTCTTTTGAAACAATCCAGTCAGACAAAAATAAAGAAAAAAGAATAAAAAAGAATGAACAAGGCTTCAACATAAAGCAAACAAATTTATATATTATCAATATCTCTAAGGATGAGGAGAGATCAAAAAGTTAAAAAAACTATCAAGAAAGATGAAAACCTCCTAAGTTTAGCAAGAGATTTAGATATCCAGATCAGAAGGTCCAGTGATCCTCAGGGAAATACAATGCACAAGATGACTTTGCCACAGCACATTATAATGAGACTGTCTTAAGAGAAAGTGAGAAAGGGAATTCTAAAAACAGCAAGAGAAAAGCATCTAGTCACCTATAAAGGAAACCCCATCAGAATAACAGTGGACTTCTCAGCAGAAATCTTATAGACCAGAAGAAAATTGAATGATCTATTCAAAGTGGTGATAAAGAAAAACTGCCAGCCAAAATTTCTATTTCCAGCCAGATTTACCTTGATAAATGAAGTAGAAATAGTCTTTCTCAGAGAAGCAAATGCTGAGGAAATTCATCATCACTAGATTGACCCTACAAGAAATGCTCAAGGGAGTCCTAAACTTGGAGGTGAGAGGATGACATTTGCCATCATGAAACACATGAAAGTATAAAACTCATTGGTAAAGCAAAAAAGTAAGGGAAAGGAATCAGATAGCATCACTACAGAATTCCACTGAACCACAATGACAAACAGAGAAAAAGAAAGAAACAAAGAATTTATACAACAACTAGAAAACAATTAACAATATGGCAAGAATAAAACCTTACATATCAATATTAGCCTTGAATGTAAATGGATTAAATGCTCCACTTAAAAAATGATCCAACCATATGCTGCTTATAAGAAACTCACCTTACCTGTAAAGGGGTGGAAAAGATATTCCATGCAAACAGAAACCATAAGCAAACAGGAGTAGGTACACTTATATCAGATAAAACAGACTTAAAGTCAAAAACAGTATAAAAAAAGAGAAGGTAGTTATTAACATATAATGTTAACAGATGAATTCAGCAAGATGATATAACAATTCTGAATATATGTGCACCCAGCACTAGAACACCCAGATTCATAAAAGAAATATTACTAGGCCTAAAAAGAGAGATAGACAGCAATCCAAAAATAGTGGGGACTTCAACACCCCACTCACAGCATTAGACAGATCATTTAGATGAAAAATCAACAAAGAAACATTGCACTTCAATTGGACTTTAGAGCAAATGGATCTAATAGACATTTACAGAAGCTTGTACCCAACAACTAAAGAATATACATTCTGTACTTCAGCACATGGAACATTCTTTAAGATATACCATATGTCAGGCCACAAGACTAGTCTCGACAAATTTTTAAAAGATTAAAACTACAGACCAATGTCCCTGATGAATACATACACAAAAATACTAGGAAACCAAATCCAACAGCACATGAAAAATATAATACACCATGATAAAGTAGGTTTTATACAAGGGATGCAAAGATGGTTCGACATATGAAAAAAAATAAACATATTATATCACATGAAAAGAATCAAGGACAAATACCATATGATTATCTCAATAGATCCAGAAAAAGCATTTGATAAAATTTGGCATACTTTTATGATAAAAACCCTCAATAAATTAGGAATAGAAGGAACATATCTCAAAATAATAAAGGCCATATATGATAAACTCATAGCCAACATCATACTGAATGGGGAAAAGTTGAAAGCATTTCCTGCAAGTGCTAGAACAAGACAAGGATGCCCACTTTTTCCTCCTAATCAACATAGTGCTGGAAGTCCTAGCCAGAGCAATTAGGCATGAGAAAGAAATAAAAGGCATCTAAATTTAAAAAGAGGAAGTCAAATTATCCCTATTTGCTGATGATATGGTCTTTTAGCTAGAAAAATCTAAAGACTCCACCAAAAAACTCATAGATTTAATAGATGAATTCAGTCAAGTTACAGGATACAAAAATCAATGTACAAAACCCAGCATTTCTATACACCAATAAAACTTTTGCTGAGAAAGAGATAAAGAATGCAATTCCATTTACAATGGCTATAAAAAATATCTAGGGGTGTATTTAACCAAGGAGGTGAAAGATCTCTACAGAAAAACTACAAAACACTAATAAAAGAAATTGTAGATGACACAAACAAATGGAAAAACATCCCCTGCTCATGGATCAGAAGAATTATTATTAAAATGACTGTAGTATGCAAAGGAATCTACAGATTCAATGCAATTCTTATCAAAATACCAACATCATTTTTCATAGAATTAGAAAAAAAAATCTTAAAATTCATATGGAACCCAGAAAGAACCCAAATAGCTAGTTATTCTGAGAAAAAAAGTAGAACAAAGTTGGAAGCATCATATTACCTGACTTTAAATTAAATTAAAAGGCTATAGTAACCCAAACAGCATGGTATTGGTATAAATGTAGAGGCATAGACCAATAGAGAACCCAGAAATAAAACCATGTGTTTACAGCAAACAGATCTTTGACAAAGCAGAAAAGAACATACATTAGGGAAAGGACACCCTTTTCATTAAATGGTCCTGGGAAAATTGAACAGCTATATGCAGAAGAATGAAACTGGACCCCTAATTCTCACTATACACAAAAATCAACTCAAAATGGATTAAAAATTTAAACATAGGCCTGAAATTATAAAAATACCAGAAGAAAACCCAGAGAACACTTTTCTGGACATTGGTCTAGGCAAAGAATGTATGACTAAGACTTCAAAAACACAGACAACAAAAACAAAAATGGACAACTGGGACTTAATTAAACTAAAAAGTTTCTGCACAGCAAAATAAATAAATTACTAAAGTAATAACCTGTATAGTGAGAGAAACTATATGCAAACTATTCATCCAATAGGGGACTAATATCCAGAATATACAAGGAACTCAAACAACTCAATAAAACAACAAAATGACCAATAATCCAATTAAAAGTGGGCAAAGAACATGAATAGACATTTTTTAAAAAAGGCATACAAGTGGCCATTGAGTATATGAAAAAATATTCAACATTATTAATCATCAGACAAATACAAA